TACCTGCTCCGCACAAGTGACACCCGCGATGCCCCCGCCGACCACCACGAACTTCCCCGCCGTCGGAGGAGGGCGCGCTGCCTCCATGCTCAGGCTTCTGATGCTTTACCGCCGACCGCGGGGCAGCCGAGGCGATCGCGTCCCCGCCACTTCCGGGGCCCGAGCGGCGACTCCGCCTACGGGTGCCCCGCAGCTCACACTTAGTCTCTTCGCGCATTGGCCGGGGACTGCGCTGCGGAGCTTGCAGCCGCGTCTTGGCACCCGGGCTCCGCGTGATGGTTACCACGCCTGAATGTAGTTTTCTCCGCGTACATTCGATAGAGAGAAGACAGAAAACAAAAATTAAAGAAGATGGGTCGCCAACGGAGGCTTGGCAGATTGTCTAAAGACAGACCAGTGATCTCCCGGGGCAGAACATTCTTAAAATAAATGAATTGCTCTGATGTGCTCCCTACAAGCTCCTGTGAGAAATTAAGCATCTTAAGATGACTCGGGGACCACAGTGGGCTCTTGGGAAACTCACTCAAACTTCCCCCCAGCAAGCTGTGAAAGTGCATGCGAACCTAGCAGCATCTTTCTGCTGTCAGGCCACCTAGCTAACCACATCTCTGCCTTCAGCGGAAAGGGGTGCCGGCTCCTGTGACCCCCCACTCCAGGCATACAGGTAAAGCCCCCCAAATACATCTCTCGAACTTTTCACCTGTGCGAGGGACAGGGACCAGCTCTAGGACTGTGAGTGTGTTGGAACTGGGGGGATGGTTTCCTACCAGCATTGTACGACTTTCTTCCAAAGAATTCTTATTACAGCCTTCTGCAACTTGTCAATGGGTTGTTTACTTTCCCGTGTTTAGCCTAAAGAAATATAATGGGCTAACGCTGGCAAAAACAGTTTTATCATCTCTTAGCACGCACCTACGTTCTAAGCTTTCAGCATGGTCTAGCATCTTGTGTTAAAGGCATTGGGGTAGTTGGTACCTATTATACTGTTCTTAGCTTCTGGAGCTGAACAAACCAGAAAAATTGCATTTAACTCCACAGTATACCAGGCACACCATTTTTGTTCTATAAATATCAGATTCGTGCCATTTAGAAAACTGGAGGCATTTCTTACACTACACCCCAGCACCCCAAAATTCAATTGATCAAGTCTCGGCAACTCAGAAGTGCGCCTCAGCTTCCTTATTTTAGTTTTTATTGTGACTGCCCTATTGTAAGCCTTCTTCTCCCACTCGAACTATTAAAAAAGGCTCCTCATGGGTCTTTCATCCTGTTCTCTGCTTCTAATGTACCCCTATGCTGCCCTAAGAGTTATCTTACTAAAAGGGAAATGTTGTTACCTTCCCTCCCCACCACTTCTTCTGGCCCAATTCCAGTTCCCTGAACACATCGACTTTTCTTGTCTCTTCCATTCCAGGCTCTCTTGTCCCACCTATAGAAGCCTGTGGATCTATGAATGGCAAGCTCAAATACTACCTTCCCCACCATTCTCTGGCAGAAATAATCATGTTCATAGTATTTGATTGCATTTAACAGTGTTTATTGTGTTTGAGTTGGCTGTGTCCCTATTGGGCTTCCTCTTCGAGGAAAGGAAGTGTATTTTATACACTCTGGTTTTTCTTGCCTATGTCTCTAATCCCAGCATTTAGCACAATGACTTCAGTGATATATACTCAATAAATGTTTCTTGACACTTTAGAATAAGCATGGTAAACCTGATCTTATAAAGTTTGGGCCCTCATTGTGTGGTTATACCCACCAATTTGAGGTAAGAATTGGCCTTATGAAATATCACTGTTCTCCCTTAAATGGTTTGCTATAATATTTTTAGATCAGGTTGTTCTGGGTAGATAGCTGTTGTGGTTATCTCACAGAATCAGGATAGACCCAAAGTTTGGTTTGGATGTCAAGATTGATAAACACACACACACACCATGAGGTGATGAAAATATTTATCACATAATGAGGTCTTCTGGACTTTCTGGGGAGAGCAGGACAATTTCTTAAGCTGATCCAAAAATGGTTTGTGAGAGCAAGGAAAGGAAACCAACTCTGCTTTCATTATGATTAGGGAATGGGTGTTCCGACACCTGTGGCCCAGGCTTGTTGTGGTTTGAATTTCTTGCCAGTGCCAAAGGTGGGCACATCCGAACTTTCTCAGCTTGACCCTGCTTGGGGCAGACGGGCAAAAGGTGAGGTTTGAAAGCTGTCAGCAAAGATCAAAAAAGGAGCCAGGTCCTATAATAGGCAGTGTTTCCAACTCTATTTGATATGTTTATAAAGTTCCCACACTCTTCCCAAGCCATACAATGGAGCTTGATAGTTCAATTTCAGTTTTAATCTGTATCACCAGAAAACACTCTTATTAAATTATAAGCGCACAAGAAAATTCCAAAGTCAAATATAAAGTATTTTTATTATCCAATTTTTTTCTCTTATAGAAAATTGGGAATTCTCCTTAGCTTTTTAAATTTTTGAGTCATAATTAAAATGTCTAAAAGATATCCTTGACAGAATGACATATTATAACACAATTTATATATCCTTTTCTGTATACTCTATAAATAAAGAATATTTTAGACCTTATAATAGCTTTCATGCTATTTTTGAATAAAACATTTATACTTCTATTCCATGGCATTTATTTGTTAATTGCTATACTTTGCACATATAAAAGTATTATGACAGCACTTGAAGGAATTATTATTTAAGTATCTTGATAATTATTTACCATTTTAGTGTGTAAGGCAATGTTTTAATACTACATTGAATATTAGAGAAATTCAGATTGTTTTATCATAAATAAATAAAATATTTTCTACAGTCAGTTATTATACTGAAGGAATAGAAAGAAACAGTGCTTTGTATCTTACCTTTTGTTTATTGAAATCACTTGTATCTCCCATAAAAATAAATGAAACTATAAAGAAGGTAAAGCATATAGCCTTCCAAATGGGAAAAATATGAAATTATGGTATCAAATGATTGTGGCTAATTTATTTCAGTTGATATAAAATATTGAAATTAGAAATACATTGCACTTCTTAAAGAATTTTATATGTTTTAAAAAGACAAAAATTATGTTGTTTCAAATAATACTGCAAATACTGCATTTATCCATTAATATTTTTCAAGTTCACATGAACCCAAGACAGATTTACATGACAGTTGGACTAAATTTCTCCTTTCTAGTGTTGAAAATATTTTTAGGTTTACATGAGACTTTAGAATTTTAGCCATCAAAATGATCTTTACTCAATTTATTGATAGTAACAACAGTGATACACATTGAGCATGCTTGCCCAGATACATTAAGCTAAAAGTGAAAAGAAAACCTCATTTTATCATTAGTCTTGGGAGATGGTAATTTAACCAATTTCTGGTTTGGTTCAGGTCAGGCCATATATTGTATGGATCACATTTTGAAGAACAGCTGTTTAAAAAAACATTTTTGTATAACACCAAAAAATGTTGTTAGTGATTGTGACTGTGAAATTGCATTCACAGGGAGAAACTTTTTCCTGAGGAAGATGAAACATTTGTTTAAAGAAGCACATCAGCTGGCTGTGCTATGATTAATTTTTGACATCTTTGAAGAAATCGAAAGCGTTATCAGTTACAGAACATTTAAAGCATCTGGTGTTTGTAGAGAACTAGACACCCGTGGATTCTCTCCCTTCTTTTGCCCGAGCCATCTGCCCTGGGAACCCACACACTCTCTTCTGCATGTATCATGCTCTCGTTGAAAAGGTATGTTAATGTCAGTGATAAGATTTCTATGACTTATGGAATCATAGTGTGATTTACCTTTCTCACTTGAAAAGGTAATTTAGAAATGTGTCAAAACATTTTACAAACCTAATAATATTGCAAAGCATGACTAACTCTTAACAATATTCCTACTTTTACATCTCTAGCTCTTTGTTTCTCTCTTTCCTGTGATGACCCATTTTCTTTCTCCTGCCCCTACATGCACTTGTTTCTGAAAGCTCTATTCTCTATGACAGCAACTTTTAAAACATGCAATACCTGACTATTGAGTCAGGGGCACTGACCTCTTTTCCCTTAGATTGTGAAATTAAAAAATGACGACAGCCAACACAATAGCTGTCCAGTGTGAATGAATCAAAATTATACCTATATTTTTTGTCAGTTCGGCAAAAAAGAAAATATATTTTTTGGTGTGCTGCAGGATTTTAGTAATTAGTTTACCTGTGCCATGAGGTGGAAAAGATTGAAAATCGCTACTCTGTGAAGTTCTCTTCCCTTTCCATACTGCCTTTATCAGCACATCAGCACCTAGTTGCCCATCAAATATGCATTCTTCCCTCCTAACAGAATCTTAATTTTGTTTGAATTGACAAATGTGCTACCTAAAAATATGTTTTTTGTCCAGACACTTTGGTAGCTGAGGTGGCCATGTGACACAGTTCTGGCTCATAAGTGGAAGTCAGCCAAGGATTGGCAGAAAGCCTTTGTTCTACTGATACAGGTACTACTGGTTCCTCCTTTTCTTCCTTTCTGTCTGGAATGTGGATGTGAGCTTAGGGGCAGAGCAGCCACCTTGATATCATAAGACCACAGGTATGAAGATAAAGATATATTTGTTAATGATGTGGAGGGGAGAAGATGCAACATTTTTTTTCTAAAGCCTTAAATGAGCCACTTTTTAGATTCTGGGTTTCCTACCTCTAGACATCTTGTTACCTAGACAAATTAATCTCTATATGTTTAAGCCACTATTAGTTTTCTGTGCATATTGCCAAATAGAATCCTAACCTTGCCCTTCTTTATTTAATTACATAAGGAAGAAACAATTTATTTACCCCATCATATCATATCTTTAAGCCATATTTATTCCTATTGCTCGTAATTATTTCCCTTCAGTGTGCTATTTGACAGAGTACAAAACTGAAGGCAACATTCTGTATCATTTGCAAAGTCAAATCAATTGCTTTTAGTTCAAAGGAGTTCAGTGATTTATTTTGGCATTTCTTGCTGTGATTTATCTGCAACACTTTGCTGTAGGCATGATGTGATCTACAATTGGAGACCTTGCTGACAGTGTGATTTCCTAACACCATTTCTGACCACACTGGTGTTAAATTCAACTTAATCGCTTCTGCAAAT